GTCCTTCCCCAGAGTGCATGTGCTCTTTCACTGCTCTTCTTGCTTGCATATGGATTTTCTACCTGTAGCTGACTACTCTCTTTCTTGAACTATGTTGCTAAAAGCTATGTAGCCCAAAGCTGCATGTGGTACCTGAGTGGAGGCCTTTGCATGACCGAGGTGTTAAAAGGATTATTTTTTGTTTCTCTGTGCTGTTCCCACACCTGTCATTCAGCACCCTCAGTGGTGTTCCCTCCTCCTCAGTTTGCAAGAATGGAAGCTTGGCCAGTTAGTTACTGTCCTGTACTGGTGCAGCTTGTTATTCCTGCCACCTACGACCTACAACTCCTTAGTCTTGCAAACTGCTTGAATGCAGAGTCTCCACATATCCGATTGTGGGAGAGGATTTTTCAAAACTTCGAAGAAATATATCACGCTAAACTCCACAGAACATTTTGCATGGTAACAGTCTTCCAAAAAAAAGTCTGATTTGGCACTTCCACAGATGTAGCTGAATCTTTTCCCAAACTAAGGCAAGGCATAGGTTCTTACTACAGTTTAATGAAATCATCTTTTTCATGCCTCCATAGAAGAATGGGAAAGGGGAGTGGAAAGTCCAGGGGAGGGAAGAGGGCATGTATCAAGGTGATTTTCAGCCCCCCCTGGAGCTCAAGGTGTTTTTGCTTTGGACTGACCTCTTAAAAGTAGCACATCAAACAGCTCTGCAGAAGCTCATGATACAGCATAACATTATTCTAGTTTTACAGAGAGCTTAAGACAAACAAGAACATGGGAAGTAAGAAAGAACTAACAAGTCAAGAGGAACTTCTCATAAGTTAGGATAGCTGGGCAGTTAAGCAAAATCATGCTGCTCCATAACTAACAAATTTCTGCATTTCTGTTGATGCCAGTGCAGTCTTCTTCAGAAAGCTCCAGGGTTTTGCAGTTATGTCCTTCTGAGCAGTTCAAACACCTATTTCCTTCAACACGTTGTACATACTGTGGAAGCTTTATGTCTGAAATACCCAAGGGTGCAGATCATTTTAGGAAATGATTCAGTATTTGTACACACACTGTGAATTCTCTATACTTTTATTTGTTATATTTCTGCTCCAGAACAGACATGCTGTGATTTCTTTCCTTCTTCCTCCAAATTGTGAGGCATATGGCACCCAAATAACATAGATACTCATATTTGCTGCTGCTCAAATCCCCTTGAGCAGTGCCCTGCATCCCCAGTGTACCTTGGAGCTAGAATTAGTAACAACACTCTGGCTGTAATCCTGATTTGAGTCCAAATGAAAAGCAGCACTCAGACTGACACACTGAGAGAGTCAGGGAGTCTTAGCATAGTAGTTTGCTCCCTAGGGTCATAACCTGCCTCAGAGAGGGGTCTGTGCTGGCAGGCAGGTCAGCAAGGCCCAGGTACAGAGCTCAGGAAGTGCTTTTTGTCACACATTCTAGGGCACAGGCAAACTGGTCCACAGAAGGCTTGAGCAAGGTCACTTTCTGATAACACTTTGGGCAGTAAATGATTTTCTAACAGTTCCACCTATGACGTCTGTATCACAGAAACATTTTCAGGGATTATTAGGTCATCATAGTGACTTTACACACTGAAAGAAACATTTTAAAGAACATTACTTTGGAGAAGATTTTTCTGGATGATCTGTTGGGATGTGAGGCTCCTTAACCCAGATATGACATTTCTTATTGTGTGGGTCAGCTGTGAAACATGTACAGCTATCTCCTGTCAAGTGCTGTTACGATCTATGCCTGATTTCCCCCTACTAATGACACAATCCTGAGGAAGGTCAACCCCATGATAATCAGTCCCTGTACTGTAAAACTAAATCACCAGCACAGCTCAATGAGGACTGGAAAAGGCAGAATGTATTCCAAAGTTTAAACTGTGCTCTAGGACTTTGGTTAATATTTAGCATAGATTTAATCTCTTCCATTGTCATATTATCTTTCATCAGAAAATGGGTCTAAACATCACTATTTTCTTTTAGTAATTCTAACTAGTGACTTTAATAATTTTGCAAAGATCTGAAGTGGTCTCTATACCTATTCCTACTCCACTTTGCAGAAGGTGACATGATACAAGCCCTACAAGAGCCTGCCATATCTCAGAGGTCACAGTTCCTTTTCTCATCTCTTTCCATTGAAGTCAAATGCTACAGAACTCTACTGCTTTTATGCCAACTTAGTAAGAGAAACAAGAAAAGGTTCTACATAAAATACAGGGATTTTCTTCCTTTGTTTCTGTAGGTGCTAATTAAACACATGTCAATACACATGTTCCATGTTTTATAAAACCTAATCTATATGCCTTCTTCAAGGTGCTACATGCTCACGTTTCTAAGATTAACTTCATTTTGATGGTTAATAAACCATTTCTTAAACATACTAAAAGGTAAGTAATACTAAGCCAAAATAATAAAGTTCTTCCACAGCAATCATGTGGTCATCATAAAAAAAAACCCTCTGTATATATATTTTTAGAATTGAAGCATTGAGAAAATTCTATTTGTACAGTTTTCAAGAGATTTCAATCTAGAAGAAGTCTGAGTTGGGCATCTTCCTTGGCCTAAATCAAGTTTCTAAGTAAAAATAGGCTTTATGGCTTTCAAATTTAAGGGGACAAGTTGATATCATTAGAGATCACCAGAACTACATTATCAGATATAACTCCCTAAAAAGTCACTGGATGGTACATCTAGTTTCACAAGAATTGAAAAAGCTACATGACCAGTCTGTTGGAATCCAGTACTTGAATTTATTCTGCAATTGCATTTAAAATAGAAATACAATCACTTATGTGCTGAACACAGTAAGTTAAACACTGTTAAAATAGACTGACACTGACGTTCTGCAGATAGGCACAGCTCACCTGGTTTCACTGGAATTAGGGCTACTTTTACAGCAGTGAATCTCCTAAGCTGAATCAACAGCTCATACCATCAAAACCATTCTGGTTACTCATGATTAGTGGAGGAATTATATGATCCCTTTGTGTTTTACAAATTGAATCCGAAAAATCCGGAATAATGAACTGCCCAGAGACTTTTGATTTTTGAGCAGCAAAGGTATTTATTGACAGCGCTGGGAGCAAGCCAGATATTGCTGGAAAAAACTTGCTCAAAGGCTTCACACAAAATCAGCAGTTTTTATACAATATTCGAATATGATTAAATGCATATTCAAGTGATTACAGCATCTATCTATACATATTAATAACAGGCGGAGTATAGGTGGAGCTCAGGCGGGGCTTAGGGCGGTGCTTCTCTCGGCCCTCAATTTTGGTGGTAGTTCTGATCTTCCTCCCTTGGGTCTGGGGGCTAATTTCATCTTCCTCAGCTTGACCTCTCTTCCAGTGTTCTCCACCCACTCACTGAAGCTTGGAAAAAGCCTTGGCTTCCAGCCTGTTTCTTCTATTCAAATGTCTACCTTATCCTACTGCATCTTAATTTATTACTTCTTAAGCCTATTACATGTTCTTTTACCATTCTCTTAAGTTTTGGTCTAGTAAGTAGAACAGAACAAGCACAGATTGTTTTGGATGTTAGTGGCTTGTTATCAGGCCCAAATTTCTTAGTTAACTCTTTTCGGCCTGGCCTCCTGTTTCAAAATACACTGTACTTCACATACATGAATTCATCAAATTTGTGATCAGGGCCTGTGCAGATAGTATCTATCTGAAGTCGTGGTCCACCTTCCCAGCAAGCTATGGTAGAGCTCCTTGGACTGCCCCCAAATTGTACTTTCTGCCCCCAGTCTCTACTTTCTGCATATGTAAAATAAGGAGCACAACTACAGGCAAGGTTTAATGCTGGAGGTTTTAGAGGAGGAACAGAAGTCAAACAAGAAAATTGTCTTATCTTTAGTCACTTCTCCCATACACACACAAAGCACCTAGTTAAAGTGCCAAAGAGTAAAGCATCACATTGCTCAAATCCCTAAAAAAGTTAAGATTTCTTTAAAAAGTATTAGCCATATAAAAATAATTTTGATGTGTCTATATACATGCTATTTCCCTAAAAAAACCAGGTCTCTGCTATTCTTGGCCACCTTATTCAGAAGTTGCTTCTGGATAACTATATTTCAGGTTAATTGAAACGCTCTAAAACTCAAGAGACAGAAATCTATACTAAACAATTTACTTTGTCTCCCATTTCTTCTGCGTAAGCAAAACATGGGTTCCTGTACTTTGTCCTTTCAAACTACTTTCCTGTTTTAACTGCCTTGGCTCCACCTAGATTGTCACTAACTTAGGAAGAAAAGAATGCCAGGGTGGGAAAAGGCTCTGATTTTGTGGCTTTCAGTTCTGACATACTCTTGTTAAAGAAAACCTTTGCTTCAAGATCTAGCACTCCTCTCCACCTGTAGCTATACAAAACAAATTTAAATTTTGGTTTCAAAAAAATACAACAGACTATGAAATTAGACATCTTTCTTCTAGTTCTGTATTATTCTGTAGCTGAACTGAAATTTTTATTAAAAACATCAACACACTTAAAATACACTGGCAATTTTTTTTTATTTAAGCTCAAGTTCTTCTTTCTGTAGCTGTTCTGTGCTTCACAAGCCTGTCTTTACTGAAAGCATAAAAAGACATTTCACTGAATACTAAATAAGGATAGATATTCTAGAAGTGTTAGAGCCCCTAAAATGGGTGTTTGGAACAGGGGCCTCTCAAAATTTTCTGCAGTGCCTAGAGCTCATTTACACCAAGGAGTGTAAAGGGAACTATAGAATAAACAAAATCCAACAGGGAGTTAACATTTTCTGCCTATGAAGACACCAAAGGCTGCTTAATGCATTGTTTTTAACGGTCTTTAAAACATGAAGCATGTTGGAAAAGCCCTCACTGTATTTGGTATCATGTTTTTTCTACCTCTTTTTGCCTGAGCAATGAGAAAGAAAAGTCCTCACTGTTCAGAGTTCAGCTACAGTGGCCAGTGTCAAAAAAGCCAATGTTGCAGGGGAAAAATTTTCATCTGAATTTTTTTTTTCTAAGAGTTCATTACCAGTCCTTGGATTATGTGCATACAACTGGCTCCAAAATATCAGGGCTTCAAGGTACCTTCCCTAACTACTACACAGTTAACCTCACTCCTGTGAGCACTGGTGAAGCACAGGGATAATTAAAATCTCACCTGAGCACATGACACATACCAACATTAAAAGCCTAATCTCGGGTTTTAAAGAGATTTCAGGTTTCTAGCAGCACAGAGTAATCTTTTGAATGCCCCTCCTACATACCTGTCAGAATGACTAGGTTGCTGAATATCCTGAAAAATCTGGACCTTGAGAAAGGGCCCTCCACCCTTTAGCACATCTGAGCAATTTTGCAGCCTGAGCTTTGGCCTTCAGTTGCTCACATTTTAAGATGTTAATCTCATTTATTGCAATGAGTAATCTAGGGGTAATACCACAGAACACTCCATAGCACCAGCCTGCTGTCAGTCTGTGCTGGCTACAGCAAGGCCCATACCTCAAAAAAAATGACTGGCTCTTTCTGTTGCTTAAAAAATTCTGAAAAAAACAGGTTTTTCAGTTAAGGAAGAAACAGACACGCACACATAGACCCAAAACCAAACACACACACACACACACAAAAACAATTGCATGCAAATTTAAGTAAAAAATTCTTTAGAAGTGCAGGGTATCACTGAAGATCCATTGGAAGTTTGCTCTTTTGACAACTGTGTGATTAAAAGCCCACAAAAAAACTATGGAAAGACAACTGATGACTTAGATGAGCTTTGGATCAGCTGTAAGGGCATTTCTTTATCTATGCACTCAGACTATTATACACAACAGTAAGTTACAGTTACAACATCAATGCCAACAATGAACACTTATTTTTGCTAACAAGTGCAAAGAGCTTTCTTATGAATAGTATCATTTAACAACTTAGCTATATAATATTCTTATGATAAATCAAATCAAATTAAAAAAATACAGATGCAGCTGTACAAACTAAACAAATTGAAAATGTTAATATCTATATCTATCTATATATATAACAAAATTACATCTTCAGTAAGATGCTGCCGGTACAGCAACCTGCACCAGCAAAATCCTGAGCACTTGGCCACCTATACTGTTGGATCGAGCTGAGTTCATGCTGCATTTTTCAAGAGCACACACGCATCTTGTGTTTTCTACGGACGAAGCCGGGGGTTTATGGGTTCAGGATATTTCTCACACAGCTGCAGAGTGCTGAGCAGCAGAAAGAATCTTGCATTGGGAATGTATGCTAAGGATCACCTCAAAAAGTACTTGGTAAAGTTGTTCCAATCCTCAACATAAAGGCTCAGGTATCATTCAAGAACAATGTTGCCTCAACTCAGCAGGGTAACCTATGCTAAACTAAATAATATAATCTGATTGCAAGGAATGCACGGGGTTTTAAGTCACTGTTTGTCTACGATTTGAGTGCCTTTTTGAGGTCAGAGTAGAAATTGGCCAAGGTACTGGACATGGCAGTGTCTACTGCAGATTGCGGCAGCATCCCCCGCAGTTCAGTCTGAATGTAGCCTGTCAAAAGGCTGTGGCTGGGACAATCCTTGAGGGGGACGCAGAACCAGCCGCAAGGGTGATTGAATCCACGCACAAAGTTAGGCCTCACCTCCTCATAGTTGAGGCTTATACCTATCAAAGAAAATAAATAAACAAACAGAGAAATTAATTTAACACAAATAAAAAAATACAGGTGCAGTAAATTTGAAATATACAAGCTGCTTCTTCAGGAATTTAGTAGAAGGGACAGACACATTTCAAGTTTCTGGGTACTTTCATGAATGAAAGTTGCTCTTCATCCAAACTCCACAACAGAGCATGGAGACCATGATGAGCAAAAATTCAGATATTAAAAAGACCTTCCTCCCATTTACTAGAAGACAATTGCTGCTCCTCCCGGTTTGCTCTGAGTCAGAGGACTCAACTTGTCTCTCCCACTCCTATCCCACAGTTGACATAAGTGAAACCTGGCACACGGTCAAGCCAGTAACTTGTATGCTCCTTTAAGTATGTAGAACATTAAAATATCTTTGAAATTGTTAAAATGCCTTGAATTTATTTGTTGGAGACAATCTTACACCATTTTTGGAATGTTTACTGCAGAACGAAACTGCATTTGAACCAAATCTTAAGCCAAGCAGCTGTTGAAAAATAAGAATTAAGCAGAGGTAGGAGGTGGCTTACCACATGTTAGAAGCCCATCTGCATAGCTTGTGGTGTAAGAGAAATCAACAAACTCCCTTGGTGCTATGATGTTCCAGAGCTGGCCAGCAGTTGTATAGCGCATCACACAGCAGTTCTGGTTGAGTGACAGAATAAAACAAAAATATAATGAATACAGGGAAATTTATGCTTGTAGGCAGCTAGCATTTCTCACAAAGGTCACAGCCTCTGTCAACTATGCTGTGCAAACAAATTCAGTGAAGTCTGAATGGCTGTGCCATTTTCAATCTAGATGCTGGAAGTTGTGAGGACTTTTAGTCTACAGCCAAGAGCAGAAAATGTCTGGCACCATAAGGGTTTAAATATCTAAAACTAGAGAACTGTGCCATGCCTGGGAACTGAAAGTCATGTGGCTCTTACGTCACTATTACTTAGGAAGTCTGAAAGGACCATGAACACATTGAAAGAGGACTCTCTTGCTACTAAGATGCTTCAGTCAAATACTTTTAATTTACCAAGTGAAAATAAAATGAAATGTGAACAATTCTTCAAAACAGGCTTTCTTACAAGATACTAGAATTTGCATAGATTTTAGGGAATAATTAGCAAAAATACCATGTCATATAAATCTTCCTAAAGAAACAGAGCAAAAGACAATCCACATTCAAGCCAGATATCCAGAGGGGGTTTGAAGTGATACTGAATGTCTGCAGTAACGAAAGAAATGCTACTAGCTCTTCTGTAATCAACTTCAAACCTACCTTTCTTTATTTAGTCCTGACCCTCAGTTTGAACTGTTTTGTGTCTCAGCATAAAGCCACACTACACAAGTCAGCCTTTCAGAAAGAGGAAGAGGATGCAGATTCCATAAGTGTGATTATTATTGTTTGTGGAATGGAAGAAAGCTGCAAGAAAAGGCTTTGGCATATACAATATCACACTGCAGCTCTTCATATGTGAATTTTATCAGAGTTCCCAGGTCCAAGAGAATTGCGATTGACTATTTTTAGCATTGATGGAAAGATGCACGTCAAACTTCAGATTGGGACTGTGCTGCCAGAAAGCCTCGTCTGAGGTCACACACAGCATGTATGCAGAATGCCTCATGCAGAATGAAAAATGTTACTATTTGTAGGAACTACTCCTCTGCTGTACTGTTAAATTCACATATTCATCTATACACATCTCCTTTAAGAATCTAGACAAGTCTTCACCTCTTCAAATGTTTCCAAGATGTCCATTGAAGTCATTAAGCTGTCCCAGTCTAGCCTGTAAGGTCCAGGGCGAATATGATCCACTATTCTGTTAGCAACATCTTCCACCACTCCTTGAGCTTTGTAGCTAGAGAAATATATGTTTACATTTAAAAGTGAGAAATTTTTTATATCCTATTAATTTGCAGCAGTAAAATTACATGTTAGTGTACCTGGAGGTACAGACAGTGGACAACTGAATCAGAAAAACAGCGCAGAAGAAGACATATGGGTGCATTTCTCTGCAATACATGTTATTCTGAGAAACCTTGTCTTTTTTTCTGCAAATATTTTTAAATGGCAAAATCCTTCCTTAGATAAAAATTAACCTGGTTATTTCTCTAATAACTTGTTATTCTGCTCCTCTTGTTGGGCTGGCAAGGGAATTCACCAGGGACAAGTAAAACTAAAAAGGAAAAAATAAGATCAGTAATACAATGGGAACAATATTTGTCATAAAGAAGAAGTAATAGCAGTAAAAGCAAGCTAATGAGAAACTATATTATGCTTTAGTGGCATATAAAAGTATCAAATAAAATAATTTGGTACAGACATTACAGAACATCCATTTGTTATCAGGTCTTTCTAGAATTTTTGTTTACTCAAGTTACTGGGCCTCCAGTTCCTGAAGGTGAAAAATCCATCAGGACCATTATTTTCAAAATACTTTGTGTTAACTAAGATGTTCTTATTTACTGCAGATAACTAGTCAAACACTACCTTTTCACATGACTTTTTGTTTCTTCAGAGTAGCATTTTCTAGTAACTGTTTCTCTAAACAGTCAGTAGCCTAAACCTACAGACACCAAGAGAACCCAGAGACAGAAACTCACACAGGAAGGGCATTCGTGTCACACCTCTTTCCACAACTAAACACTTGATATTTTACTCTATTGCAGGCAGGCCATCATTTCTGGGCAGATGCTGTTGCCCACTTCAGCCAATGGGAGTTTTGTGATGTGTTCCACAGATTTCACTGTCTGTTGTTCTAAATACGATGCAGCACTAAAGTATCAAAGTGTAACACTGCAAAGAAATAATTTAGGTACAACAGATAATCCATTTAGCTTCTACTCTGGAGAATCTCTGTAGCTGAGGGCTGTAGAATTCACAATCTTAGTTTTTAAATTCTATAAGGTACATCTGTGGAACCTTAAAAAATCATCTACTCTGCAGGCAAACTTACAGGTATCCACTGAATTCTTCTGACGGTTTACGCCACACAGTTGCATCTTTCTGAAAGAAAATATAAGATATGATGTTAATTGTCGCTTATATATAATTATAAGATGTTCAAAAAATGCTTCAATTTTCCTGATGAAAAGCAACCAATTTTACCACTAACTATGGTTTACCCCAAAGTCTCATTGACTGGGGCACCTGGGAGATGTTTCAGATATCTCTTGTAATATTCTATTCTTTCAAAAAAAAAAAAGTCAGACAATTGCTTTCCTCAGTGTAAAATGCTAAAAATCTGCATAGAAATAGGGCTTCGTCGGCCAAGCCAGTTTGCTATGAAAACACACAGAATGATGGAACCACATTACCAGGCAAAGCCTTACAGTTAAAAGGCAAATGGAAAGCCATTATCTGGATGCTACTTGGACAGGAAGACCACACAACTTCTGGTTGCACTCCTGCAACATATGACCAAACAGATGTGTGCAGGAGGTGCTGACAGTGGCAGAAGGGGAAGCTTAAGTTACCCTTCTATGCTAAATGCCTCACTAAAACTCTCTTGCAAGCAGTAGTCTATTTATTTTAAAGATACACAAGGAAAATAACGAAACTAGCATCTTCTGATTTTTGCCTAAATATTAAATGGAGCCTCTGTACAACATCTCTGAATTTTGGTGTTAAAGACAGTACCATATGGCACTGCTTTATTTGGAGTCATGATTATATAAGCACAAAGAACTAAAAGTCCTAAAGAACAGTACTGTTAAGTACTTCATCCAGAACTATTTAAGATATTCTGGAGGAAAACACATCTCCTTGGTTATTGGTAAAGCTCTGAAAGTCTTTTACAGGCACAGTACCAAACTGAAAAGAAGGGAGGGAAGAAAGAGAGAAGAAAGAGAGGGAGGAAGAGACAGAGAGAAGGAGGCAAAAAGAAAGTCAAACTAGAAATTTTACAGGGGTAAAATCTGGGGAGTGATATGATTTGAAACACTGAGATGCAGGTTACTTCCTACAGGAATACAATAGTAAATGACATAACACTTAACACTGGAATACAACAGCCTTAATACTTAGTAGAGCAGAGGAGGTATAGGTGTATTGGAAGACTAAAAGGCTTGGATGCTCTGTTCTTCCCTTTCAAGACAGTGAATTTGTTAATTTTGCAAATAATCAAGCTATATTTGGACCACTTGACTCTATCCTATCAATGTCTGCTCATGAAGGAAAAAAAATAAAAATGTAAGTCCCACTCGAAACACGGTAACCAAAGGGCAAAGATAGAAATTTACCACATTAGTCTACCACATTGATACACTGAGATACCCAAATACATTTCTACCTTTTATGCAGGACGGGACTAACAATTTCACGCAGCCTAGAACTGATGCACCAGCAGAGTCTATTTAGCTTGTTGAAGCAGAACTCATAAAAATCCAGGCAGCTCAAAAGAAGAGTATGGCAAACTGCTTGGAGAAAGCAGGAACTACATTCCCTTTCATTTTAGGAAACTTAGCATAATGTAGGGGCTCTGAAGGCAACAAAAATGTGAAGCAATATGAGAAAAAGAATTGAGAATTACCTCACTTCTTAAGAGGAAGGCATTTGGAAACTGAAGTCTGATGGATGGGTTCAAGCACTATTGAGAAAAACGTTCAAGAGGCTGGCAGATCCTACCTGCAGGCTGTTGCTGGTTTGTTGGAAGTACACCTGAGCCTCTTGCAGCACTATCAATGCTATTTCACATTTTGCTTTAAATCAAGCCTATAATCCTACCCAGGCAGGGTCCTTCTGTAAGACACTTCCCTGAAAATGGGTAGAAGGAATGACAAGAGCATGACTGCAACCATAAAAACCCACTCAGCCTGAGAGCAGCAATTCTCCATTGTTCAGTCATTTTCTAACGGCCTTTACAACGTAAGTTTCTGTTCAGATAGCTGCGGAATAAGCAAGTTTCTGAATGCTTTAGTTAAAGTAGTGGCAACATAAGTAGCCAGTTTTTGGATAAGAGATGCTGAACAAAGACGCTCTATAATCAGCTGTAAATACGCTGCTCAACAGACAAGTTCAAGTAAAGTTCAAGCTCCAGACGACCACCAGAGACCACCAGGAGACCACTGGAAGACCCCCTAGTAACCAAATAAGGACCGAAGAACTTCTTAGGATTCACATACGTATAAACTTCATAAGAAAGGGAGTGAACATGTAAGACATTTGCTGAATATGTAAAATTTTAAGTAAATATTAGCACGCTGAGCCGAGAAGGGGACAAACATATGATCCTCCTGTGTGTCCAGCGCTGAAAATGAAAGCATGCCTGACCACTAATGCTCACAAACTGAGTCCTGGAGGTTTCTTACCGATTTACGGCAACATCGGTAACAAGCCATCTAGAGATGCTCTATCCTAGAAGGGAGGTTTCACAGCCCCTGTCTCACCAAAAGTCCCGCAGGAACTGGACAAGATTTTCACACAAAATAGGCTCTTTCCGCCGTAAGAGTGATCCAGAACAGCTTCCCCGGGATCACGGACCAGGAAAGCTGCCAAGGTGAGCACTCACGGTTTTCTTGGCCACCCTCCACTCTCCGTCCGCAATGCCGTGGTAGCGCACAAGCGTGTTCCGCAGCCTCGTGGCCAGGGGGGACGGATTCGGCAGCGGATCCATCTGCTTCCCTCCAAAGATGCCCAATTACACACACGCCAGGAACAAGGCAGCGGGATCAGGGATGCCGACACGAGCACGGGGCATCTGACCCCGCGCGCTCTGAGCAAAGGACGCAGAAACCACCGCCGCTCATCTCCCCGCTTGTCAGGGGCACCGGCGGAGAGCCAGCGTGAGGCACGGGAGCTCCGGACCCTTTCCGGAGCGCCCTGGGGAAGGTGGGCCGAGCGCGCTCCCGCCGCGCTCTCCCGGCCCCGCGCGCTCCCGCGGCCGCGCCCCGCCCTGCCGCGCGATGATGGGCAGCCAATCAGAGCTCGGTCGGAGCCTCGCGCGACCAATGGCGGCGCGGTCCGCCCGTCGTGCGCGCGTGCAGGGCCTCAGCCGTCCCCTCCACCCCCGCGTGCGTCACGCGAGCTCCGGACGTGTCGCGGCCGCATCGTCACAGGTCGGGATTGGAGGTGGAGTGAGTGGAGTGATGGAGCGCCGTGGACACGCCTGGCCCCGGGACGGGCGTGGGGGCACCCGCTGCCGTCCTGGTAGCGCCGGGCTGCGCTCCGTCATCTGCGGTGACTGCGCGGTACGGCCCCAGCCAGGGCTGCGCTGCTCACGCGTGCCTGTCGCTGTCGATCCGTACTAATGTCCCCGGGTGTTGGAAAGATAAATGACTTGTCGGTAGAATCGCCTTGTGTCGTGGAAATTAAGCACCACTCAGTCGCCCGCTCAAACTTCCATCTCCCAACCCCACCCACTCCTCCAGTCCCGATGGAATGGGGAGGAGAATCAAAGTAGAAGTTTTAGTTTGAGATAAGAACAGTTTGGATAATCGAAAATGAAGTAAAAATGCAGTAATAATGGTAAATGAAAGTATTATAAGGGAAAAAAAACCCACAAGTGATGCACAATACAATCGTTCACCACCCACAGACTGATGCCAGACCCCTCTTCCCAATGCAGATTGGCCCCTTCCAGTCCATTCCCCCAGTTTATACACTGGACATGATGCCTCCCTGTAATCCAGGAGGAAACAGTTAGCAACATGCTGAGCCACTTGGGTCCTTGCAAGTCTATGGGACCAGATGGGCTCTACCCTAGGGTGATAAAGAGCTCGCCAAGCCACTCTCCATCATTTACCAACAGTTCTGGCTCACTAGGGAGGTCCCAAATGATTGAAAGTTGGTGAATGTCACAGAGATCCACAAGAAGGGCTGCAAAAAGGACCCAGGCCTGTCAGCATGACCTCAGTCTGTGGCAAAGTTATGGAGCACATCATCCTAAGTGCAATCACATAACACCTACAGGATGGACAAGGGATCAGACTCAACCAGCACAGGTTTAGGAAGGGCAAGTCCTCTCTGATCAAACTGGTCTTCAGGTGGCCCGCCTGGTGGATGAGGGGAAGGCTGTGGATGTGTCTATCTGGACTTCAGCAAAGCCTTTGACACCATCTCCCACAGCATACTCCCAAAAAAGCTGCAGCCCACAGCTTGGACAGGGGCATTCTCTGCTGGGTTAGAAACTGGCTGATGGCCCAGAGAGTGGTGGTGAATGGTGCTGCATCCGGTTGGGGGCTGGTCTCTAGTGGTGTCCCTCTGGGATCAGTGTTGGGCCCAGTTCTATTTCATATCTTTATTAATGATCTGGATGAGGGGATTGAGTCCACCATCAGCAAATTTGCAGATGACACCAAGTTGGGAGGGAGTGTTGATCTGCTGGAAGGCAGGAGGGCTCTGCAGGGACCTGGACAAGCTGAAGAGATGGTCTGATTCCAACAGGATGAGGTTCAACAAGGCCAAGTGCCGAGTCCAGCACTTTGGTCACAACAACCTCATGCAGTGCTACAGACTGAGCACAGAGTGGCTGGAGAGCAGCCAGGCAGAGAGGGACCTGGGAGTTTGGACTGGCAGGAAGCTGAACATGAGCCAGCAGTGTGCCCAGGTGGCCAAGAAGGCCAATGGCATCCTGGCCTAGATCAGGAACAGTGTGGTCAGCAGGACCAGGGAAGTAATTCTCCCCTGTACTCAGCACTGGTGAGGCCACACCTGGAGTGCTGTATCCAGTTCTGGGCCCCTCATTTCAGGAAGGATATTGAGGTGCTGGAGCAGGTCCAGAGAAGAGCAACAAGGCTGGTGAAGGGACTCGAGCACAAGTCCTATGAGGAGAGGCTGAGGGAGCTGGGGTTGTTTAGCCTGGAGAAGAGGAGGATCAGGGGAGACCTCACTCTCTACAACTCCCTGAAAAGAGGTCGTAGCCAGGTGGGGGTTGATCTCTTCTCCCAGGCAACCAGCAGTGGGACAAGAAGGCATCATCTTAAGCTGTGCCAGAGGAGGTTTAGGTTGGATATTAGGAAGAAATTTTTTATGGAGAGAGTAATCAGACACTGGAATGGGCTGCCCTGAGAGGTGGTGGATTCACTGTCCCTGGTGGTTTTTAAGATGAGAGTGGATGTGACACTTAGTCCCATGGTCTAGTAACCACAGCAATGTTGGATCAAGGGTTGGACTTGATGATCTCAACCATCTTTTCCAATCCGGTTGATTGTACGATTCTGTGATTCCCTAGTGTGGGAGAGAGCATGCGATAAGGAAAAAATCCATTGGCTAAACACGGCTTAGCAAAAAACCTCAGTGTGTTATCAACACCATTCTCATTAGGAGTTAAGGTTTAGGGTCCAACATGCTTCAATGTAAAGACCTAGCAGGGCAGTTAGCAAAACCCGGGAAGAAGGATGAACTGCTGAAAAATGTGGACTACGTAAAATTTTCTTAAGAAAATTCTTTAGTGTTTTATCTTTGTGTACTTTCAAGCCTAATAACAAGAAAGGAGATTTAATCCCTGAAACATCAGCTAACGAGCAAGCTCTAAGTCATTTCCAAGTGTTAGATAAACAAATTACTTATTGGTAGAATTGTCTTATTAAGGTTTAGGGCTTGACATGCTCCAATGACCTCAGGCCTAGGGAGAAGTTAACAAAGCTTAGGAAGAATGTTGTACCATTGATAGTGGATACAAGAAATGCAGAACTTACAGGCTACAAGGACATTTGGCAGAACCCCCAAGATAAGAAAGAAACTAGAAAAGCCAGCTCAGCAATTGTGCTGAAACCACCACAATTACCTTGTACCTGGGTACAAGGTAATTCCGGCAGGAGCAGATCACAGCTGACTCACGACTACCAACCCAAGAAACCCATAGGCTCCAAGGAAGAGAACGACTGAGCAAGCAGATTAATTAGCATGAGAAGCGAGAGAATCATTAAGCAATAGAAGATAGAATACTTCTTAATAAGGGAACTAGGTAACTTGTAGCCAAGGAAATTAATGCCTTTGTTTGCTAAAGTGTATCAATAGGTAAAAGTATCAGTGGCAGTTGTGGTGCTGTCTTTGTGGATTTGCCACCCAGCGCCCCTTTCTGTGTAGAACTGTGAAGAAATCAAATTCCTTGACTCTGTATATGGGCTGACCTCTTGTACACTGGGTGGATGAATCTATTTTGGGACAGCAGAAAAGGCTTCTTTGCAGTGGCCATATAAAGTTTAAACAGGGCTTCAGCTTTCCAGAGTCCTGTGGATTTGCTGTTCATGTGAAGCGTGTTCTGCAAGTGCCAGTGTGGTGGGTAGGAGGAGTAAAAGCTTCCCTGGGTCAGCACTTCCAAACGACTGTAAAAAGACAAAACTCTTGTAAGGGCAGAAAGATAAATGAGTCAAGAAGCAGATGATTAGAGTGGGGGAACAACAGATCTTCTTTGTGTGGTAATACATTGTTCATTTTGAGCAATCCTAGCTCCCAAATTGAATGTTTTGAACATAGTTGTGTTCTCAGTTCAGGACTTTACACCAGGCCTTTTGAACTGTCCCTAGCTTTGCAATTTATAACTCTTGATCATTTTTCCTTAACTGAGCAAAGAATGAAGATGCTTTACATGCAGTCCTTGAAATTTTACAATACAGAATCAAAACAGTAGTTATGAGTTGAAAGCATAGTAGCATTACAGGAATGTATTTCACCATCTTCCTTCAGACTCCTATCTTTCTCTGAGGGAAAAAGTGTACATTTGACCAGTCCCTGGCTGTTTTCTCCATTCCTCCCTGCCCTGTTGCTCTCCTTAAAGACCAAGGTTTTCTTGCCTTTGAGTATGACTTTCCTTCCCATGGGCTGAGAGACAGCTTAAACCGCCAATGTAAATTGGTTCAGTTTTTAAAAGGAAATTTTGTGTTTGGTTTTCTTGTTGTTGGGGTTTTGTTTGTTTGTTTGTTTAAGGATGAAATGACAAGTTTTTATTGAAAAATGCTGACTTTTTAAATAAAACTTTGTTTGTAGAAATGTTTCATGTTTCCATGGGCTGGATGGATTTTAACAGATTGCCTGGTCTCTTGAAAGTTGCTCTGGCAGCTCATACAGCAAGTTTCTTAAGCTTAGGAGGTCTTTAAGCCTTCTGTAAAGCCTGTAGATACTCTTTATTCTCATATTAATATTAATTTTATGACTTGAGCCAGCTGGATGCCTTCAGGGCTTTTAAACTGGTTCTTGCTCACAGTGAAATGGGTACTTCCATATATTCTGGGCATCCCACCTATGCAGAGCAAAGTGTCAGTGAAGCACATGAGATAACTGATGTTCAAGTAACGCTGTATATATTTCCTGTGCTATAATCCTTCACTAGGTACAGCATTACCTGCAGTGCTACCCTAATCTTAACCCTAATTTGTGCCTATTGGACAAAAGTGATGTGAAGAGGTGAATGTGAAATGTTTCCAACAATGCCATAACTGAGCTTTTGCTGCTCCTTCCTGCTTATCTCTGTGGCACTTCTCTGCAGCAATAACTCCTGAACCACTCTCAAAATTACACTGTGTCATGTCTTAGGTATGGAATATTGCTGTAGAGTAACATCTGTTCCTCTTCTTACACCGTACCTTGTACACAGGCATTTTGATTATCATGATTTGTGAGACCCACAAACACTGTTGAAAGGCCAAAATTCCTCTGTCCCCCAACTTGAAAGTAAATAGATAAAATATTTTTTTCTGCATTCACCTCTGAGGAGGAATGGTTGCCTTAGAATGCCTGCCATTTCATGCTAGAAATACTGTTGTTTGAAGAGCTGTGAGACTAACTACTGGTACTTAATTTTAGTTAACCCATGCCTAGTAATGGGTTTGATCACTGAATGTGCTCCTCTGTAGAATGCATAACAAACAGTAAGGAGGACAATTTGGGTGGGTTTCAAACACAAGGAACTGTAGACATTTAAT